AGAGCTCAGGACACCTTCGGCTTCTTCAGTGACAATTAGAAAGCTTCACTAAGTTTTATTGGTGTAAGCTGGGGTTCGCAGACAATCTGCTGTGGGGGTCAAACGATGTCCTCATTTCACATATTCTGGATGATCTGAGATAATCTGTGTAGCTTTTCTTTGCCTATATCAAAACCACTACTTCAAACTCGGTGGCTGTGCTGGTGGGGGCAGCGGTAGGTGCAGGTGAGGCTGTTTGGAAGTAGTTTTTTTTACTAAAAAACTACTTCCAAAAACTTTTATTACTGTTGTTCTTTGTTGCCGGCCTGCTCCACTCTGTGTCCGTATGTTTGTGGGAAACTCAAACTCCTACATTTATCCATCACAAATAAAAGTCAAACCCTCAATTTAACCCTGACCTAGTTGTTACCTAAACCCTGAAACAAAATCTGAACTCAGAAAAATGAAAAAATGCAGTTGCTGTAATGCTCTAAAACTCAAACAGGTTCTCACAAAGACAGCTGGACATGTTTTTATAAATAGACTCACTCATGCTGTAAATGTGAGCTACAAAAACATGGGTTACGCTCTTTTCAAACAGTGATTGCAATAGTACCCACTTGTCAGTGTAAGCTGCCTCATGCTTAAATATAATTGCCAACTTAGTCCACATTAATTGCTCCTTAAGTGCATTAAGAGGAATCAGTGTGTAGATCAGGAGTTATATTAGCAGCTGCAGTCTTTCACACGCAGGTGGTTCCCTGCTTAGTTTAGTCCATTTGGCTGATGTGAGCACCGACACACCGGCCTGTCAGAGTTCGCTCAGAACACATTTCTGCTTTAGACGGAAACACAAATATTACTCACTGGACTTGAGTGCTGAGGAATTGACTTCAATCTCTCCTCCCGTGATTGGCTGGAAAACCGAGAGCTCAGACTGGTAGTGGTCAGGACTCGGGGCCAGGCTTGTGTTAGCCGTGCTCCTCTGCTGGGCTTCATGTTCCTCATAAACGGCCATCAGCTTACAGGAAAACACACAAAATGCAGCAGGTTAGGTTTTCTGGTTTTGGTATTTTCACATTTAAACAATAACTGCAGCAGAGTAAAGCTTTAGGACATAATATCACAAGTTTTTTACTGCTTATTGTAGAAAACAAAGCAGGTTTAAGAGATAACAACCAACATATGGATATCAACAGTGCTCATACTTCACCATTAATCCGTAAACAGCCTGCTGGCTTCTTTAAATAAACCACAAACAATAGAAGCTCTGTTTGGTTTACTGCATGCACAAGCACTCAACATGTGTTACCTTGTGGATGAGCACGCTATAGAGGACATCCAACGAGCCCAGCATTCCTGTGACAGAGCGTGTCCTACTGATTAACCACTGACTGCATTAATGTCCTCTGTGCATGTGTGCGCACTGTGCTAACTCTAACTGGGTTATATAGTGGGATCCCTGTCTATTGAGCACTGCACCGAGTCTGTGTTTAGCCTAACGTTGCACAGAGCTCGTCCACACTGTGTTCTAGGGGCCTCCACGCACAGGCTGAATAGCCCTGTGTGTATGTGTGTATTTATGTGCATCGTGTCCATAGTGGCTAAGAGTAAAGAAAGGAGACTTTGCCAGCAAAGCCAGAGGCTTCATGTGACAGTGGACACAACAACAACTAGGATTTGTTTGCTGTCTCTTACTCAGGCAGATGCTACTATGTTCCCACAGTGCAATCTTTTTTTCATGGACTGGACTATACCAGTGTGTTTCTGTATATCTGGGTTCTTTGGTGAAATATTTTGATGTAAAGTTTTACTAAAAGTTACTGTAATTCCACAATCATGACATCACTGTTAGACTGTGTACAGCCCTTTCCACTGTGTGTTGCTAGCAGACCCCACCTTTCACCCTTTATGATTGGGACGCTGCATTAGCTGACAGCAATTCACAATTGTAATTAATACAACACTCCAGAACCTCATTATTATAACTTTCTCATATACACAGGTTCATATACAACAGGCACACAGGAAGAGACTAGCAACAAGTAAAATAAGGACCAGGTCCAAAGTTAAACTCTTAGCTTTGAGGTAAGCAATTAAAGTGACAACTAATGGGAGTGAAGGACACTGCAGACTGACATGTAAGTGGTTGGTAAAGACATTAGAGGTGTCACCTACGCAACTGGAGCCTGAACTGTCAGCTAGTGACAAATTGTCAACCTTCTGTAGAAGAGGCTTAGTGTGACAGGACTTAAGGACCTGCCTGAGTATCCACCTGTTTTTAGTCTCACAGTAATTCAAAGACACCTCAGTGTTTTCCCTGGGCTCACTGTTTGTGGAGAGGTCAGTGTTAACATTTGTTAGGATGCTATTATTTAACCTCCTAAGGACCTGGCGTCCACATATGTGGACATCACATTTTGGGTTATTAGACCACAATACTCAATTTTGCTCTACAAGGGCCTGATATCCACTTACGAGGGCGTTATACTGCTACTGTTCTATCGAAATTTTAAACAAATATCCTCATATGGCTCTTATTTTTCCTAAGAAACAAAAATCGGGTAAAATAAAAATCTGGTCATTCTTTGTTTTTACATTCATTGGGTCCCAATCAGCCCAAATATCAAAGAGAAATCAAAAATGCTGCTGTGGTAGAGTTCGGGTCTTAGGAGGTTAATGTAACAACTTGCTGTCAACTCAAGCAGTGTTATCTTTACACTTCTACGTCTGCTGCTCAACCTGAAGCTACATCAATAAAAACACAAATGGGGGCATAATAAGAAATTATTCAGCCTTTAACGCGTCTTTAAATGCAGTAAATACGACTTGAGATGAATAACTGTTTTAACAAATACTAAGTCAAGATGCAGAAGCAGCAAGTGAAAAACTACATACACCTGGGAACTAAACAGTTTGTGGAACCATTTTTAGCAGAAGTAACTGGAAGCACTCATTTCCTGTATGACTTTATCAGTCTGTGACATTACTGTGGTGGAAATTTGGCCCACTCTGCTTTATAACACAGACCCACCACAGCATTTCAATGGGTTGAGGTCTGGACTTTGACTGGGTCATTACACTAACTTCATTTTTTCTTTTTCAGCCATAGATGTGCAGATTCACAACTGCTCCTGGGATCATTGTCCTGCTGCATTGCCCAATTATTCCCAAGCTTTAGCTGTCAGACAGCTTCATGTTTAGCTCTAGAATACTTTAGTATACCGACGGGTTCAGGTCCTGTTGTGCAAAGTGATGTGTTGTGCAAATCCTGATCAAACGTCTCCCCTTTGGTCAACTTCTTGCTCCAGAAGTCTTGCGGTTTGTTCAGATCAGGTCTTGTCATGTTCTCGTTAGAGAGAAGAGATTTTCTCTCCCAGTCTGATTGGACTGTCATGAACTTGAACACAGCTGAGATAGTTGTTTTGTTTTCTGTAGGTTTTCCCGAGCTTTTCACAGTCTGACCTCGGGCTGAATTTGCTGGGACGTTCACTCCTGGGAAGACCAGCCTCTGTCTTCAATGTTGTGAATCTGCATTCTTACTGCAGACCAATTAAATTCAGACAGTTTGGAAATAGACATATAACCATTCCTAGGTTGATGAGCAGCAACAACTGGCTCTCATCACCTGGATCGTTGCTCCCAATCAGCAAACTGCCAAAACGCCTGCTTTTATAGAGGCGGTATGACTTATTGATGATCAGTTAATCCAGCGCATTTGATTATTAGCGCATGGTTCTACACTTTGGCTTCGTTTTTGTTAAACAAATTATAACCTGTCGGATTTTTAGTTCATCATAATTAAATCATTTTAAATCATTTTATTTCCTATCATTTATAGAGGGTGTACTTTCTTTTTCCCATATCTGTACATACTTTTGCTTTTTCTCCAGGAAGAGCCAAATAGTATCAAGTTACACAATATCGCACCTTTCTTGCCATCTTTCCAGCAAATCTCACCAGCAATTCAGCCCAATCCAGGCCTCTCCGTCTTTCACACATTCATGTTCTGTCACATTCCCCACTTCCATCTGTCTAACACAGATTTCTCTTTTTGTCTTACTCAATTTTTCCTCTCCTAACAAATCTTCGTTTTTTGCCATATTTCTGTTGACATGTTATCCTTTTCCCCAGGTCATTCCCAACCTTTTGGTGCCACGGCACATATTTCACATTAGAAAAATCACACGGCACACCACCAACCAAAAATGTGACAAAAAGCATATTGATATTTTTCCCCGCACAGCAGACATAGTAGAATTGGCTCGGTTTGTCCCCAGTATACCCCTTTTGCTTTATTCTGACCACTACTCACGCTGGGCCTTCACCTGGGTCAGAGTTTCCTCCAAGACCAGACTGACTACTTTTTCTTTTCAGATATTTATCTATTGCTATTACGCGCTGTGTCGTCTCACAGCGTGACTATTATGTAATTTCTTCTTCGTCTTCTTCTGTTTACTAGCAGCTGGCAACCCATTTAATTAGAGCAGGTAGTTGTACTGCCCTCTAGTGGAAGAGAATATAATTGTTTAACCCATTACTCACGCCGATCGCTTAAGGCAGAGGTCCCCAACCTTTTGTGCTCCACGGACCGGTTTAATGTCTTTTTATTTTTTTAATGTTTAATATTTCACGGGCCGGCCTTTAAGGTGTTGCGTATAAATACAACAAAATAAAATGATACGACAAAGACAAAAACTGTGGGATTTTGTAAACATTATAATAAACGTGAATTCACTGTGTAATTGTGTAACTTTATTAGCAGCGTCCTCCAGAAATGCACCAACAACACTGAGAGTAACGTCTTCCTCTCTGCCCCTTAATGCTCTCAGGTCGCTATGGTAACACATAAACATTTCTTTCAAAATAAGACACATAACTATAACACAGGAAAAGACCCAGGGAAACCAAGTGAACAATAAAAACCCTGAAAACCAGAAATTTCACACCTCGCGGCCTGGTACCAAACGACTCACGGACCGGTACCCAGCCGTGGCCCGGGGGTTGGGGACCGCTGGTTTAGGGTACCAATTAACTGGAAGATGAAAAAACCACTAAATGTGATGAAAGGGATGTTACTTTTATTTTGGACCCTTTTCCATTTTTTTTTCTCATTCTGAACTTCTACAATATGGATACAATGTACCTGCTTGACACATATCAAAGAAATGTACCATCAGAAGAACATTTAACTTTCTGGATGTAAGAATCAATATTAGTGTCGAGTAAGAGGAATCCCTCCAACATGTTTAAGAGGACGGGACAAACTGACAGACAGTTAAAAAGATAATACTTCCAGCCATGTCTGTGTTGGCACAACGTAACAAAAAGAGCTCACATTCCTCACCAGAAAACTGCTTAAGAACAAGACTAATAGCTTCCAGATAAAAACACGCACAGAGCCGTGGCAGAGATCGTTAAAAAAAGAACATCTGAAAGGATGACTGGAAGAAAAATGTGTAGACAAATTCAACAGAGCCTTGCCAAGTCTCTTAAAAAGCTGAGGGGGGAAGAAAAGAAAGGCAAGCGGAGCAGATATGGGGGGACTCTGCTTCTGTTCTGTTCAACAGGGAACTCAAAGACCTGCCAAACAAAATGACACCACAGCCTGAGCATGGGAGGAAGAGCGGGATGAGAGAGACGGAAAGGTGAGACCGCACCGAGCGAAAGCACCGAAAAAGACAAATGGGCACAGAGAACGTGAGAGACGGAGACGAGAGAGACTTATAATGATAATAACGAGGCAGACTGACAGATGTGTGGTACTGTAAAAACCTTCAGGATGTCAGAGAGCAAAAAGCAAACCTGGAACTGGAGACTGTCAGAGAGTCACTGTGTCAAGTACAATGACGTGTAAGCAAAATGAAAAGTTACACGCTGCCAATTCCGGCCCTGCTCACCCGTCACCTGCCGAGCACACACGTTTTATTTAGAGGAAATTTTAAAACGGATTCTCTGTCACACATCTGAAAAATATTGAACAACTTGGGTCAAAATTTGACTCAAAACCTGATGATTTGT